GCTAACAACATCTAGCTAGCTAGCTATTCTCAGCCGTAACCGCTATGAACACGTTTTGACTTGTGAATAAGTGTGCAATGTTCTGTAATTTGCTTCACTAACTCATGGCACTAATCGTGTGTTTCAGGCGAGGTGTTTCTCTCAGGATTAGAAACTAGCTTTCCCCTCCGGGATAAAACGATAATATAACGTTAGCAATTAGCATGCTAGCTGGACATAATGCTACCTAGTAGTAATTTCAAGTCATTTGCAACATTCCTTCTACATGTTAATGGTAAAAGCTTAAACAGTTGATTACCTGCATGCCACAAAGACTGATGTTCTAATATTTTTGCACATTTAAGTAGAAATGTAATTGAAATTCTATTTATTTTTCCTTTTTTTTATTGATTGTTATAATTGTACTAAGCCATGTTATGTTAGATGTCAATCCACTTACACTGTAACTACTCTGGCCTTGAAAGAAGGTTACACATCTAACTGATGTCCACTAATCCCTATAAAACAAAGTTCAAGCATACATTAAGCACAAAACAATAAATAAGGGCACTTTGATATTTATTTTTTATTTGATATTATTTGATCCTATCTTATACTTTACACCTGCATTTTATACACTGTCCCTGCCTGCACCATGTCCAATGTTGGACAATGTTGTCTCGTTGTTGCGATTAAACTGATCTTGTATCTTGCATATTTCACCTTAGGAAAGTGGGCACGCGATGACAGCTTCCTTGACACCATCATGGCGATGGACCGCCGTGCCATGGTCAGCAAGGAGAATGAGGACCTGCGTGCCAAGGAGATGCACGACGAACGGCTGCTGCATTCACACAAGGCCCAGGAATCGAGGTGGAGCAACAAAATACCTTTCAGGCTGGGCTTCTGGCAGTGCTAAGCGAGCTGATTAAATCCAACAGGCCTTCAATACAAAAATTAAGAAAAACTTGTCGTCGTTGATAAACTGTACAATGACTTGTTGGGAGGCGTGTAGTGCAGTGGTCTGGTGCGGTGGTGTTCGGATCAGGGGAGCACAGGTTCAAACCCCACTGCAGTCAGGATGTCGTTGTGTCCCTGGGCAAGACACTTCACTCCAAATTGCCTACACCTGGGACAGTTAATTTTGTATTATTGTGATTATATATATATGTCACTGTTATTAATACTGACACCTAACTTTGCACTAAGGTGTGTCTGCTGCTGAGCCTACCTATTGTTATTATATATATATATATATATATATATATATATATATTGCCACTGTTATTATATTGTTTTGATACTACTGACACTTATTGATCTGCTGCTGATAAATAAAAGAGAACCTACATGCACGGCACTAGCATCATGACTGTCTTTGTTTAAACCAGCAGCAGTGCAGCGGTACACAGACTAACCTGTGTGTGTGTAACGTAGTTCTTCAGGTGTGTATGCTTAACATGTATGTATTTATCACAGTAAAGATGGTATACAAAAGCTTTTTAAAGAGCTTTCAACCTCATCCCATTGTCTTTAACACACATTTAACATAATATACTCATATTAATATACAAATATACAGTATGAGTACTGTTTTGATACTGACATTTAATCTTTGCACTAAGGTGTGTCTGCACTATTGTAATTGTGTCTGTTGACTGTGGTAAATAAAAGAGAGAACCAAATGCACTGTACAAAAGATCAGCTTTATTGTCAATTTACAATTTCCAGGCGATTTTTTTAGGTTGCGTCTCCCCAACGTTGCTTCCAAGCGAATACAGAGGAGTTGAAAAGAGCCCTTGGACATTCGGAAATCTTTGATCCACTGCACATTGGTACCACCTTCTCCCACCAGGCCGATGTTCTATTGTTCACCCAGAGAGAGCGCGGGACACGACGCGTTCCGTAGTATTCGCATATCTGGAACACATACAAAGACACAAATTAGCCCTACATAACTCCATAAATCCTACATTAGATAGTATTAATGTGACTTAATGAACGTACCATTGCTGTTTTTTGGGCGTGATAACGGTCCTCAGCTGTCCTACGGCGAAACATGTCCATAGCGTGTGCTTTTCTTCGTCCAATCCTTTTGTTAAGGCTTCTTAACCGCCTCCGACTCAGCATTTCTATTGCATTTGAATGGTCGATCTGTATTTGTATTTGTGGCTGAGTTATTGGCTTAAATAACTCAGTTACGAAGCTGTATAACACGAGCACCAAAACGTCAACTCCATACCGTGTCTGAGGTCGGAAGGTAAACAGAAGCATACAGCGGAAGCGGAAGTTTTTTTTTTCTTCTTCTTCTCTCGGTTTTTTGGCGAATTGCAACTTTAAGGTGCATACCGCCACCTACTGTACTCGCCGTGAAGTTGTTTGCGGCCTGCCAGTAAACCCAAAGCAGAAGAAGAAGAAGTGACGTCAGCGGCTCATTTGCCTAATCCACCCCCAGGAACTCATTTTGGTGTGAACGCGATCTGCTTTAGTTCATCAGAACTAAAAGAGCTCTCATGAACTAAAGTTCTCATGAACTACTGTGGGAGAAGTACTTGGTGTGAACGCCCCTATTCCAACAACAATCCGCGGTACCGATGCGCGCCCTCTCTCTTTCTCTCTTGCTCGCTCGGAGGCTCGCTCGCACTTTGGCTCTGAGCTGCGGGCGCCAGATAAGTCAACATCCCCCACTTTCATCACTTACAGCGCACATCGTACAGGGCAAATGCAAAATGTTGCCGGCCCGGGGTGCAAAGGGTGTTTACTTTATTCAATTATTAATGTAAATGTATACATCAAGGGCAGAAAATTAGGCAGAATAAAAATTTAAAATTAATTAATTATTATTTTCTTTCATTATTATTTTTTTTCTCCCAGCGCAGCGCCCCAGATCTGGCGCCCTAGGCGACCGGCTAGTTCGCCAGTGCCTAGGGCCGGCCCTGCCTATCGGCGTTGGTAGCTCCTGTGTTTTGCTTAAACATTATGGTGTTATCAAAGATCGTAACAATATATTGATACTGGTTTACATCATCCACCTTGTCATTGTTCATGACCATTGAGGCTTCACCTGAAACCAATGAAACTCTCCCTGTCGTATTGTAATACTATGTTTGTGGCTGTGGTGTTGTGAAGTGTATCTGATGAAGTGCAGTTTGTTCGGACTCTCTTTGGTCGGTCAGGAAAAAAAATCACAATCCATAAAATTAGACTTTAAATGAATAAGAGGTTCCAGTTTCTTGGGAAAGAGGAAACATCCACAGACAGGAGCCTGGCAAAGCTTTGTTTTCTCCACGGGACTGCAAAGGTATCTAACAGGAACAGTTTAGGATCATCCACCATCCCTGCTAGCATGGTAAACAAACTGGTTATTTTTAGGTTGGTTGTTAAATAAATGTTGATAGAAAGATGACTAAAGATGTTAGAGTGATTGGCCCATGGTTTTTGAGGGAGCATGCCTTGTTTTTCTTTGGAACCGGGATGATTTTTTAGGTCATTAGCTTATAGCATATAGCAGTTAGCTTCTGTTAGCTCCTGCGGTGCTGGAAATTGCTACATTGGCAGTGAAGTGTACAGTTCAACTGCATTTGAATAAATAAGATGGAACAATACACATTGTTAGTGCTCTCATGCTAAGACGCGGGTAAGCATTTCAAGTTGAACTCTTTTAAATTGTATTTTTAAATGTATCATTATTTTCTGTAAGTTGGATAATTATTGTGATACAGATATAGGTGTTAATTCAAGCTTCTCATAAAGGTATTTTCACCTGACGTGTCTGTGCTATCTATAACAATCACAAAAATATTGTCATACGAACTTGTTGATTACCATCGTCTAAGTTCATGGTTAATTGTTTTTCAGCCATCAAAAACCTTGTTGGTGGTCTAGCACTGATTATTGTGTGTCCTGCAGCTGCCAGTTGGCCTTCTCAAGGCCTTTTTATAGTGGCTGCCTTCTCAACACTGCAGCACGAATGCTTTCTGGAGAGCTTTATCCTAGAGGGGATAGGGTTACACTTGCGCAGGCACGCACTTAGACACAAATACTCACACATTTAACCACTTTTATTTATGTAAATGTTTCTAATAGTGTTATGGAACATGGAAAGAAACTTTGGATGCATCCTATTGTATTTCTATTCTATTTGGTATAATGTGCAGCAAGATGTTAAAGGTCCCCTATTATACTGTTTTTCATCAATATATTATAGGTCTCAGATACAAAACATGTCTCTGAAGTGTTTGGCTTGAAATACCAAACAGATCATTGCAGCATCCGATAAACCCCTCCTAAAGTGCTGATTCTCTGTCTTTTACTTTAGATGAAAATAAGGAGCCACTCCCCACGCCCCTCTGAGAGATATTTGGTTAAAATAACACAATGGTGCTCCAGGAGGAGATTCGGGGGGGGGGGGGGGCTAATGGTTACACAAGCTGAAAAATCGTTATGACATCACAAAGTGGCCAAAATCTGATCAGCTCATTTTCAGACAGGTTTTTATATAAATGGATCAGGACAAAAAGTGAGCGAATCTTTTTTCCTGAAACTTTAAGAATCTCTTTACACAGAGGGGACACTATAAAATACGTGAAAAAGTGGATTTTGCATAATAGGTGACCTTTAAAAAAAAGACACAATCTCTAGAAAACATATAAAAAAACTGTACAGAAACTAAATATACAACAGTGAGAAACACACACTCAAAGCCAAGTTAAGTCAGGGGGAGTCTCCGTGTCTCTCTCTCTCTCCTGAGACAAAGCAGTAATGCTGCGTGTGTGCGTCTGTCTTAGTGTGAAATGGAAACGACAAGACGGATGCTCTGAGTTTCATGTGTGTGTGTGACGCTGGATACACAGTGGTGAGGACGCACTTTGGATTTCCTCCCTCTGAGTGCCTCCACTATTTCCGTCTGTCCGACTTCTCCTGTCCTGTCTTTTTACGACCACTCCGTCTGCGTGTTTGTCTAACAGTCTATTTGTCTGTCTGTCTGTCTGTCTGTGTGTGCGGTACAGAACGAGGTCGAGGAGCTATGACAGCCCCCCTGAGCTCGGCCAGTGGCTTGGAGGTCCTCCTCTCCACCCTGCAGGTAAGGATTGTTTAGTATTCTTTATATTTTTCAATGCTGCACAACTAACCACACGGCTGAGCTGTTGTTGAGTTTTTACTCTCTGAAATTAAACTGTATGTTAACTTTGAATACCTTTTGCTTGTATTGATTTTTCTACCAAATTACTTTCATACACATTATAATTAAGATGACTTTATTGCCATTAAATGTACACAAAATGGAAATGTGTCTTTGGCACTGGCATATCACCATACTGCACAACATGAAGTTCACACACAATACACAACAAGTATGCATCTTAAAATCTAAAAGGGGCAGTCATTATAAAATTGCAAATTGGATTGGTCCATTAAAAAAATCAAGAAAGAGCATGAAACCCAGTAATATTAACAATAAATACATGAATATACATAAAATGAATGATGGTCTTGGTTGTAGAATATCCTAAGAGGCATCCTTAAAGGTTCGGAAAGGGAACTTTGAAATGAAGCATACATGAAATATTTAATTTAATGCAATGCACAGACTTAAGAAACAATCATTTGTCCTGTATCCACATAAAAGTTTGGAAGCTGTTGCTGCTTCATTTTATTTTAGTATTTCATAATTTGTAATTAAAAGCGGCCATGGATAGTTTCAAACATAAATGTCACCAGTTGATGCACTGCACCAGAGCTTTAAAGTAATGTGTATCTGCTGTTCCTTGGCAGGTCAAACCGAGTCAGAATACAGTATGTTCACTGTTAATCCTCTAGCATTATAAATAGCAGTATTATAAGGACGACGTTATATACGTATAAGTAGTGTTAATTTCGTCAGCAATTTTTTTATTTAGTTTTAGTCTTAGTCCTGTGTTAAATTTCCTTTTTAGTTTTAGTCATATTTAGTCACCTTCATCCTGTTTTTATTTAGTCAAGTTTTAGTCGACTAAAAGTCTGAGCATTTTAGTCTTATTTTAGTCGACTAAAACAGTAAATATTTTAGTCAAGATTTAGTCGACTAAAAGTCTGAGCATTTTAGTCTTATTTTAGTCAAAGAAAACTAATTATTTTAGTCTACTTTTTGTCAATGAAAACTGTTGAGTCTTTTTTAGTCATCAGATTATATAGAACATTTCAGTCAAACTAGTCTAGCCAAAACCAATAATTTGTCATTTTAGTCAAACTTATTTCACAATAAGATTATATCTTGTCCTTATTTGATGAAAAACACAGGTTGAATGATTAAGAATGCAGCTTTGCAGAGAGTATCTGGTCAGATTTGTGGTGTTTTTACCAGCTGTGTTATGGCCACATTGCTTCCCTTCTGATAAAACAATGCATTCGCTTTTTATCTCCGCCTCATTGTAGCGAAAATGGGCCCAAATATCACATTGTTTCTTTCTCCCAAGCAGTGGTGGCTTAACCCCTAGATTCCACCGGGTCCGTCTGCGCCGCGTTACAGCTGCGCCGCGGTTTTGGTCCGGCCTCCTCCGGCGTCATACCCTACCAGGCGCGTTTCAGAAGCATTTCAGAAGCGGAGCGTCTTGCCTGCCGGCTCGCAGTTTTTGTTGATTTGGGCATATTTCCTGGACAGGCTACTTTGTACAGACAAAGTTAATAATAACTGTAATATTCCAGTTATAAACGACATGAATCAAAGATGTGTTGCTGTATTTTAGTGGTAAAAAAATGCATTCATCATCATAATTATTTTATACAGTATATATCATTTACACAGTGCCTGTAAACCGGAGGAGAACGCTGGCATTTCTCCTCCTACTTGAAAGACTACGGAGGGATAGGGTCTGCAAAATTAGTTTGTGTGTGTGTATATATATATGCTATGCTCTGAATGTTCCACTTCCTGCCTGCCCGACATTACGTTACGGCTGCGTCGCGTCAAAAATAGGATTCATCCTAATTTTAGAGGAGTCCTGCGCCGAGACGCTTCTGGGACGCTTCTGAGCCGTAACGCGCCGCGTGTGGTGGAATAGCACCCATTGACTAGAGTGGCCGCGATCGCCGTGAGCGCCGCGGCGCGGCCGTAACGCGCCGCAGACGGACCCGGTGGAATCTAGGGGTTAGACTTTTTCGTTGTCAGCCATTTTGACGGACAGGATCGTAACATTTCCGTCATAATCCATTATTACCCGTCGAGTGCACAATTTATCACTCACTCGCGCTGACGGGGGGGTATTCGGTTAACGCGAGTGCGACCACTGCTCCCAAGCTCTGTTGTTGCCATTTTATTTTCTGTTAAATAAGGTTAGTTAGACCATGAGTTAGACCAGAGTCTTCCTGACAGTTCATATTGTGCCGCTGCCCGGTGTAATTCAAATGTACCGCCGCCCGCAGCACAGACACACAGCTGCTGCCCAGCCGCAGCACCGGAAATGGAACTGCTGGGAGAAAAACTGACTATCAGAGATGTAACGTTATCTTTGATAATATTTCGTCTCCTCATTTTTCATCAACGAAAGTAAAGAGAGATTTTGGCATAGTTTTTATTTTGTAAACTACATTTTCGTCTCCTCACTTTTCGTCAACGATATTGCATGATGATTTCGTTACAGTTATTGTTTACTGCCGTCGGTGCCGTCTCGTCATCGTCTCGTTTTCGTCATGGAAAAAAAGGTCGTTGACGAACATATTTCGTCATAGTTTTAGTCAACGAAATTAACACTACGTATAAGTAATACGTTCAAGTACTACAGAAGGAATACTTCTGTGGCAGCCTGACAGTTAATATTTCCAATCAATCCTCTTTAACTCACTGGCGCATATAATCTTTCTTTAAAAAGCAAGGAATTCTGTCTGACTCATGATGGATTTCATTACATCTTTCTGAGAGTATCATGACAGAAGTAACAGCTGTAAGGATGCTGTACAGGTGGTCAGAAATGTCTCTTATAGACAGATAATTCACAGATTAAATTACATTTACCTTCAAGTGAAGAAAGGAGACATATATCTAGAATGTGTGTAAAACAAAAACTATGTACAGTATGTTTGGCTCGAAACCACTGGAGATAAGCGAGTTTTTGTAATTTAGGAAAACGTGTGGGGTGCTAGTTTAGTTTATTAGGGCCTGTGTCCACATAGTGCCTTTTTCACCTCAAGAAAAAGCATTTCGCCCAGTGTCTTTTTTTCTGAGCGCAATGGCGTTTTACGAGGTGTGAGTTTGTTTTTGGCCCTGTCTGTAGATGGAAATAATCACAACAAAGTCCCAAAAGCTAATTTGTTGGATCAGATCTGCCGGTGGACATTTGATGATGCTGCCGGTGAATGTTGAACTTTTATCTCCCTACGTGGATCATCCTCCTAACTCTATGGCTGTCAGACTGAACGGTAAAGATCAATCATACAAATTGTAAGAGCAAGAATCTTCAGATTGGTGTTCATGGTAAAATAACAATGTCCAACAAAACTATGGTAGCTCATATAGAACAAGGCAAGAGGGCAATGCAGTTTTCTCTTACAAAAGCAAAAGCAGAAATGTTTGTCAAGTTTCTTTACGTCTTAATGTTTACTGGTCAAATAGGTCAACCTTTTTAGGCAACATCAGTTTTATTAAAATTTTGATTACCCAGTCTGGGACAATAAACAATGTTAGAATCATTCTGCTCTCCTTTTCTTTTGTTTTAAGCTACAACCTGCTTGATTTAACGGCATGTTGAGTAGGTGGAAAGCCTATGTTGTTATGTAAGAGTCTATGTTTACAGGTTATTCCATGTATCAAACGAACTAGCTGACCAGAGGCGGATATTAAATCCTTCTTTCTGAGTATGAAGTCCAAATCAGCACTTTGCCAAAGTCATGGCAGAAGGATAAGAGCTGTAACACCAGCTTCCAGATTGTCTGAATATAGGCCAGGGACATCATAATGTGGCAATAAACTACATGTATTCCATTACAGCTAGAAATAAATACATAGAGAGAAATAAAATAATTATAAAAGGGTGTAAATACAATCAATGTCATTTATGATACACATCCAAATTTAAGTATAGCTTTTGATATGTATGGTAGTTACAAACATGAATGGTGCTGATTGGGCCCTGCTATGGGTTTCGCGGTATCAAATGGGAATCAAAACTTGTACGTACGTTGTATATCAGGTTCTCAGAATTTGGTTTGTGGGTGACACTGGAGCCTTGGTATGTGGGGGGATATTTAGATATGAATAATACTATTCCCTCTGGTCTCTCAACAACATTGACTGGTCTTGAAAGAAGCTGTGAGCTTTGATCGCAACTGCATTGAAAGGCGCTGTTCCCAGCAAAAACTGTGAGATGGAACATTGGAAAGGGACCAAGGTGTTTGAGACTTGAACATTGTATCGTTGTTGGTTTCCTACTGACAGTCAATGTCGGTTTCTTGTAGCCCATAACACATCATCATCATAACCAATTTGAGTCATTATAGAGTGTTGCAGATAGGAGTCCTAAAACCCAGAATTGGTTTACATTTTACCACCTCTGTTTCCCTCGTCCAGAAGTCTGCGGTCAACCGTGTTATGGTTATAGGTCTAAGATAAGGTCTGTGGTGAACACAAGGTTAAGTGATTTTCAAGTTCTATCTCACACAGGCTCCGCCCTCTACTGGACTATATGGGTACTACTCTCATCAATGATATGCGAGCGTTCACACACTGAAGTTGTATAAACGTATCCGGCCAATCAGGGCGAGCCTACCTGAATGCGCGCGCAGGCTCACAGTATATAAGGCAGCTACACCTCCTGACTGTCATCCTTTTCTCTTCAGCGAGCGGGACAACACCTGAGAAAAGCATTTGAAACAAGTCAAAAGTATCTTACCTCCAGGCAAGCGAATGGAGTGCCACTACAGGAAACCCGGGCCTGTCCTCATGCCCGGCTTAATAGCGGGCGCGATCCCCCACCAGCTCTGGTTCGAGTGCCTGGGACTAGACCACGCCAAAAGACGAGCTTGAGGTGGTGGACGTGGGAGACCAGGATATGGCCGAGGCGACGCCACCAACGTTCGCCATCCCAGCCGTGCGGGTTTATGGCTCTGCTT